AGCATCTGGTAGTCCCCCACTAAAAGAATATGATATCACGGCGCACAGGGATTTGCTAAATACTTCATTAACATCAAACAGAGCAATTATCCTGGAGAAGAAAAGTTTAAAACAAACATGCGCGCTAAACCATAGCTGGATGATTTGGAAGAAGTCATGAATCTTCCCTTCCATATAATATATAGTCCATTCATTTGTCATATGAAAATACCCCTATCTTCTCTTTCCACTGGATGGAGTCTCACAGTAACAAATGAGACAGTTAATATGAAATCTCTTCAAAAGAAATGGAGTTCTAAAATGTGCTGTTAAAATTAATATGTGGTAATTGTTTCATTGTAACTACTTGGAGAAATTCCTAAAACATCCAAGTAGATGTTTTCATTATAGATCAATAAGGATATTGGGCTAGAAGATCTACTCCGTGGGAAAACCAACTTTCCAGATCCCTGCAGATTTTTTTTTTTTTAAATGTCTTTTGCTGCATTTGAAGAGCTGGTACTCTTAGAAATACTAGCGATGAATGATTGGTCACTTCCATTTATTACAGCTTATAGGGATTTTTTTTTCAATAAATTTATTTATTTACTTATTTATTTTTGGCTGCTTTGGGTCTTTGTTGCTGTGCGCACGCTTTCTCTAGTTGCAGCCAGCTGGGGCTACTGTTCGTTGCAGTGCGCGGGCTTCTCACTGCAGTGGCTTCTCTTGTTGCGGAGCACGGGCTCTAGGTGCATGGGCTTCAGTAGTTGTGGTGTCAGGCCTGAGTAGTTGTGGCGCACGGGCTTAGTTGTTCCGTGGCATGTGGGATCTTCCCGGACCAGGGCTCGAACCCATGTCTCCTGCATTGGCAGGCGGATTCTTAACCACTGCGCCACCAGGGAAGCCCCTATAGGGATTTTTAAGAAAGTGTTCTTGCTCTCCCTTTTTGTTAAAGAATTACTGAGCACTTTTTTTTTTTTCCAATTTGGATTGTTCTGTTTTAATTTTTGTAGAAGAAGAATGAAAGAAAGACAGGAAATGCAAAGAAGGCATAAGCTTCTGTTTTCAGGGACAGTCTGCCCTTTTCTAGACCATGTGAACACATAGAGAATCTCAAGGTTTTCCAAAGCCAAAGAAGGGGTCATGTTATCTTCATTTTATCAGGAAGTTCATTTTCAACATTTCTATATTAATTTTGCGTCAGACGTTTTACTCTGATGCATTTGCAATAGATTTTTAGTTTCATCTCTCATGCTGACATGTTAGGGATCAAGGGTTTGGAAGATGCATATTTACCAAAAAAATTTATAATATAGGGAAAACATTTACTTCCTAATAGTCATGCAATAAGATTTATTTGATCCCGGTTTTATACAGTTGACTATGTCAAGCAGCAGGTCCATATAACTGGAAGTCTCAATACAAAGTTTTATCCATTCATGCACAGGTGCCTCCAATTTGGAGAAATGTGACTAGGACCTGGCCAATAAGCTTCCAGACTAGTAAGGAAATGGAACAGAAGCATAGCTAACTCTAATTCAATGGAGAGAGGGAGAGAGAGAGAGAGAGAAAAGGAGAGAGAGAGGCTTTAAATCCACAGAAAATATAAATAGCTGTGATTAGACTGGGGCCATCAAATAAAGCTTCAGGCAATAAATGGCAATAGACAAAGATGGCAGTTTAGCAAAAGGCACAAAGCTGAAAAGTGCAAAGCATTAAGTAGTGAGTGGTTTAGCTTGCTGGACATGATAAGCTGGTCAAAGAGTTGTGGATAAAAAGAGAAAAGGATTTATGAGGGCCTGATATTAGATGGTTGCCAGTAACTAGATTAGAAGCATAAAGCTTTATGTATCAGGAAATGGGACACTCCTGAAGCTTTCTGAGCAGCAGGGAGACATGATCAGAGTGATGCTTCAGGAAGAGCCTCCACACTCTAACTAGCAATTCTGGGGGAACCACTTCACTATGTTATAATTCAAGTTTTGCATCCATCTCATAATAGAAACAATATTTGTGCTCTTTCTTCCCACATGCAGGGGCTTCAAAAGAAATTCTGCTCATATCATCTTCCAAGCCATTCACAAAGACCAAGAGAACTCTTTTATTAAAAAATTTATAAGGGAAATTTAAAAAGAGAAAAAGGAAATAAAAAGAGTCAATATATTCTGTTTTTATTACTTGTCAGTTTTAGTATCTGCAAATATACCTCCATTTAAAATATAAAGGAAAAAATTTATTAGAGGTATTATTTTTCAAATCATTGACATTTTCTCATGAGAGACATATAAAAAACTTACAAGTGTCATTGGCTGTACTTACATATTGTTTAAAAGAAAAAGAAAACACAAACAAAAAAGAGGCAGCAAACAGTCAAGCAGTTCCATTAACTGCACTTTGTAACGCAAATCCTTTCATTTTTCTTTCTTCATTGGGAGTAGCTTGCCAGGGCCTAATGATTTATTTAAATGGAGGGATTTTTATAGGCCTAGAATATTAGGATCCTTTATAAACTTTTACGTTCCATGGATGAACAAGAGACAGCACATCAAGTTTCCCAGGGAACACAAAATCTCCCATTTTAATCACATGTTCAGTTTGAAACCTCAGTGCTTCACAGACATTCTTTGTGCACAACAAATAAATTGGTTTCTCACCCATATCAATTGTTAACCTTGTTAAAACATTTTGGGGAGAACATATGTAAAGAGCTCATGACCAACAGTTTACCAGCAGTAAAGGAAAAGTCATCACTCTCTTACCAATGCTCCAAGGAATCACTTACTTTCATTACAAAGAATGTCTCCCCAGCCAGCTGGGAAGGAGCATCCACTCTTTCCTTCCTGGCACCAGGCTCCATTCATGCAGTCCTCACAGCTCAACGTGCAATCATGTCCGAAGGTATGAATCTAAACAGACCGGAATGCAATAACATCTTAGTGGACCCATACTGTCTACATCACTGAAAATAAAGATGAAACCCTCATGTCCCAAAAAACAAATAAACATGATCCTTGAGCACATTTCCTAAAGAGTCCCGGTAAAAGACAATAGCAAAGAGATACCTTTTAAAATAGAGCTTGGAAGTAGTCCCTAAAGAATATTTAGGATATTTAAGAAAGTAAAAAATGAAAAGAAATTACCATTAATTTCTGAACACAAAAATAATCAATGGTCCTGGCACTTCAGTGTTTTTCCTTCCAGGCTGTTTTATGCAAAGTTTTTTTTTTTTTTTTTTCCCCAAGTAAGCCTTTTTACTGAGATTTAATATACATGCAGAGAAATGCACAGAACTCGTGTACACTTCATACTTTTTTCTCCCAAAGTGTAAACAACCCCATGTAAATGCCTCCCAGATAAAGATATAGATTATTATTTTTTAATTTTATTTTATTTTTTTGCGGTACGCGGGCCTCTCACTGTTGTGGCCTCTCCCATTGCGGAGCACAGGCTCCGGACGCGCAGGCTCAGTGGCCATGCCTCACGGGCCCAGCCGCTCCGCGGCATGTGGGATCTTGCCAGACCGGGGCACGAACCCGTGTCCCCTGCATCGGCAGGCGGACTCTCAACCACTACACCACCAGGGAAGCCCAAGATATAGATTATTACCAGCACCCCAAAAACTGAAAGGTGACTTGATGATTTTTAATCATTAGCCTTACAAATTAAGCTCTATTCTGATTTATATCACCATGGATTATTTCCCCTTATTTTTGAACTTTATATAAATGGAATTATAAAGTATGTACTCTTTGGTATCAAGCTTCTTTCATTCTATATAATGTTTATGAGACACACATATTGTGTGTCCACTAGTTTATTTTTTATGGCTATATAGTATTCTATCGTATAAATGTACCATAATGTGTTTATCTGTTCTATTCTTGAGGGAAATTACCTTAATCTGAATAAGGATGGATAGACTTTATCTCAGTTGTTTTTTTAAGGCTCATTCCATTTTAAGATTTGCCCCTGTTTCTAGATGGGGTCTTTCAGATGTCCCAGCTGAAAGCCTGTCATGTTTAGCAAGGCTTCTCCACCTTGGCAGATTCTCAACTCCAACTTCTACCTCTCTAGCACCGTGCATGATACTGCTGATAACTATGCTTAGCTCCTTACTCTCCTTGCAGCTGTCGGTAGACTTCCTGGCTTCTCTGTGTGCACAGCCCATACATTAGCAAATGGCTCAAGGAGAAAAGGAGCACAGATTGTCCATCTCACTTGTCTGAGCTTCTCTTCTCTCTAGATCTTGGCCACTCAAGTTCTGACTGTCTTGGTAGTCCTGAACTATTTCTATTCTGACTTTGAGTAGCCAGAGTATCAGGAGTCTAATGCAGTAACATTAAAGCGTTTCTATCATTATGCAGATGCATTTATTGATATTATTATCATTGACCATAGCGTATAAACAAATCTGCTCTTTTACTGAATGTCTTCTAAAGAAATCATTAAGCTTTGATGCTCTTAAAATACAAGGAATAGAGCGAGAACAAAAAGAGCAGCTCTGTCTTACAAAGAAAAGAAAAAGAAGCAGCAGACTGGCTGCAAACTGTTACTTTTGAAAGAGGTTATGCTAATTTATTCTGATCAGAAGCGATTTGATGCTTGAGTTCCGTTGCATGGATATATAAGAAAAACTGCTCACATTTGTAAAGATATTTTTTCTTGGTCCACTTGAGCATATTGAACCATTGGTTCTCTGCATTTTAAAATTTAGAAAGGGTCTAGATTTTAAGGCTATTTAAGGTAAATTTGAACTATACCAAAATGACTTCTAGTAGAGTTTAAACTGTTAGAACTAAAAGGTCCCAATCCTTCTCTCCATTACGCTAATTCAAAGCTATTTTTCAGCTCCATTTCACTGTATCGCATTTTCAATAGCGCCCATCCCCCTGCACCCCTTGGTCCACACATACCTACATAGCAACCTTTTTTTGTGCTAAAGGGAAGAAAGACAAAAGATGATGAATTTCATAGGGAGCTTTGAAGGAGTAATTTTGGTCCCATTTTTCTTGCTAATATCATGTTAAAACACTTGATGGCATTAAACATTGATAATGAAATTGTCTATGAAAGATTTATGTGAACTATCTAAAAATGGAGAAAAGAGGTGACTTTAATGAGATACATGCTTTCATGCACCAACTCTGTGCAAAGCAGTCAGTTCTCCTCGAATATCTTTCCCTTCTTCCAGCTCATCTTCTTCACCTTCGTGGGTGAGAGGCAGAGAGGTGGCCACATAATGAAGCAGTTGAGGTGGGCTCTTGAATAGAAGACGTGGAAACTTCACAATATCTAATTCCTCTTCTTCTTCCTTTAGCTCATCATCATCTAAAGCTCAGACCACACAGGGAAAGACCTGGATTCCACATGCTGGTTAAAAGAAGGCAAAACTGAGCAAGCGTTGATGGGAAAAATGAGAGTCTGAACTAGACAGTCAAGGCAGGGGGCAGCTGAAACGTAAAACTCTTTGAGAAAGCCATTTCAAACCGCCTATTGTAAATGAAGGTGAGAAGCAGCAAGCACAGAGTTGAAACTGCCGCAGAGAGAACAAAAGGAAAAGAAAGATCTCAGTCTGTGAAGAGAGAAAGGGGAGGACAGGTTGAGTTAAAGAATATATGGTCTCCGTGCTCCCAAAGGACAAGACAAGGGTTGAAGTCGGTTAGAAGAGATTTGATAAAACTCTCCACAGCAACTTAGAGATGCAAGTTTTTCCATCACTTCCAATTCTGCAGCCTTCCTCACAAGTATACTCATAGTTTTCCACAGAGTTGATACGTAGTTGGTCACAGATGATACTGAGATCCAGACATTCATCCACATCTGGGAAAATTTAAAGTGTCTGCTCTTAGGCGTTGAGAGATAAAACAGACCTTATGAACACATGGGCATATCTGTCACGTTTATTAACCAATAACAATGTATTGCTATATAGAAAGCATAGCCCCAATTCTTCCTCAAATATATCCTGCCAATTACTTTTCCTTCACTCATTTCCAAGTTTACCATAGTTTACCTACATAGACAAGGTCTTTCTGAGAGCTTGTTCATGAGATTTGAGGAAGAATTTAAAACTTACATGGTCTTAGGCTGTGTACCATTTTGCAGAATGTTCATTCACTCTTGAACTATTCAATATCTATGGTGAAGCCTTTATTCCACGCATAATTCTGTGCACAGTTTGTGGAGAATTTTAGAGATGGATGAAGGCTAGGCCTTAATCTCATATGACTTACTGGTGTTATGTCCACATCTGAGTCCAGACTTTGATCAATGTGTTCAATATACTAAAAGTTCATTTATGAAGCTGAGTTTCCAGGTCTGGCCTCAGATTGTGGATACCTTTTCCATTTGGATGTGTGTACCCAAGTATGTATATTCACAATCGTCTCTTGGCTCACTTTGCTTAAGAACAGATGGTACATGAAATTCAATTTTTTTTTGGCCCTGTTAATTGGATGGGAGGTGTAAGTGGTAATATGCTCTACTGTGTTTAGAATATATAGATATCATAGTTGTATGTATCTTTGCTGTTATCATAGTTGCATGTTCTTTACTGCAAGGCTGGGGAGCTTGGCACCTCTATGAAGAAACACAACTATCATCCTCAACAGAATACAAGAATTTATTTCTTTAATCCAAGAAACACTATTTTCTCTGAGGCATTAAAGTCTTCTTATATAATTTGACTATTATTGAAATAGGTAACAACCTTCGAATCTTTGATTTCAAGAAAAGTAAGGTTCAAAATAATGGTAATAATCACAAATGAAAATTTAAAGATTATATATTTAAGGTAAACTCGTTAAAGTAATTTACAGCAATGACTTACATGAGCCCTTCTTAATGGTATAAAAAAGTGAATTAACTCTACTCACTGAATTCAAACTCTCCTATCATATAAAAATATACCTATCAGCTAGAAGTCATCTAAAAGGGAAGTGAATCAATTTCAACAAATAAGTTAGAAAATTATAAAATGACTCACCTCAAAACTTGCATTATCTAGATTGATATCAGATATATAAAGGATTCTGATACAGATTTGGACTGTGGCTCATGAACCGGCAATCCTTTTGCTATTGCCCTTAAAGGAGAAGGACACTCAGTAATCACCTCTGACTCCAGTCAAGCTTGCCAAGAGCAATTCCTGTGGCAGTGTGCTATGGCTTGCTGGAATCTCTCACTTGCCTATATATATTAAATTAGGTAAAAGGGATTATGGGCCGATGACTATTATTATAATAATAATAGCTACTTTTAGTTGAGTGATTTCTCGATGTCAATCACAGTAGCAGGCACTTTACATTTATTACTTTTCTTAATTTCCCCAGTAATCCCATTATTGTCTTCACTTTACTGATGAGGATTTGAGGCTCAGAGCACCCAAGTTCATATAATAGAACATGGTTAAGCCACAGAGAGATCCAAGTCTCTTTAGTGTCAAAGCCTTCCCTTTCCCACCCTAACCCTCTGCCTCAGATATTCCCCCTCCATTGATTGCCCCATCACATCAGGAATTTCACGTTAGAGCTCAGGAATTCACCATCACATCCACAAGCAACAGAACTGATCCGAAAGCCTTCCTGACAACTGCATTCATAGCCTCCTAAGTAGTTGATGCAGAGCTGGGCCCAGCAGGCTTCTCCACTCTCACATTCATCAAGGTCTAAAGGGGGAAAGGACATCTCTGTTACTTAAGGGCAGGAATTTAACTGACCTTTAAAGGTGCTGATAAGCCTCACTTCAAAATTAAAACTGATTTACTAACCATTTTCTATTTCTCAGGTTACTGAGCACAGACATTGAAGAGACTATAACACAAAACAAATGAGGCCGCATTTGGGTTTACGTTTCTGACATGCTTCTATGCCTGGTATTTATTTGAAAAGGCTGTAAGTAATCTCCAAATGCATTTATAAGCACAGGGTAAGAGGTCTCTGCTATTTTTCCAGTTTAAACAGCAATCTAACTGAACAAACAGAGAAACTTGAAGAACGACAACAAAAAAAACAGCTTGAGAAGAAGAGCCAAAAAATTCCACTTAGTGGACATTTAATAGCTGCAGAGAGGAGGCAGTCTTAGGCCCCCATGTGTTTGTTCTTCTGGAACTTCAGATGAAAGAACGTTCCCAAGCTAAAAGAAGTCACGTGACTGGGAAGAGAAGTGGATAAAGGCAATTTAGAGAGAGGGCAGACAATCATTTTAAATATTATGTGTTAAATTACAGAATATTTCAGGGCATTTGCTTGAACTTTTCGATGATGCTTTGACTGGGATGAGTTTTTATTATAATTGGTGACACAATTACCCTGGAATGTCCTAGCAGATAAACAGCTTTCTAAATGATGATCTTTAAGTCTCCTTCAGCACTGTTATTCTAGGATTCTACAATCTGGCATGTGTCTTCCTTTATTTGCCCTGCAGAAAATAAAAATGCACCAGAAGATGTCAAATTGAAACCTTTCAGCCAAAGCCTAATCGATTTATCCTGAGTTTTGAGGGGATCATTTATAATATAATTGGCTAAAGGGTAGCAACAGACTCTTTACCCACTGCTTTCACCAGGCTAGACACCTGGGAATTGTGTGGTCAGGGTTTTTGACTATAGGTCCTTAGTTCAATTCTACCCCCTTTGTTGAATTGTTAAGTTGGGTGGCCTGTCAGTGCTGAGTTTACAAAATCCCATTGCTCCATAACTACATGAGCGGCCCCAGATATAAAAGGTCAGTGTCTCAATTAACCTTGGAAAGGGTACCAATGTAAGAAAATGCAGACAAGAGAAAGGAAGGAAAGAAAATGCAATCAATCAGCTAAGGTTAGGGGTCACCATAAAATATCCAAATGAAGGTCATTTGGACACAAAACATTCTTTCTCCTGCAAAATGTCACAAGCAGTGCTACTCACAAAACTCTAGATGATATTTTTTTCCTTTCTTATATTAAAACTTCATTTACCCTTTGTATTATGTAGCATGAATATAGAGGACAAAAAAAACTTTAAAAAATTCAGTTTCATTTTATCTAAAACATTATGTTTTTTGGATTTTCTTATTTCAAGATTTTTTTAAAAGTCTTCTCAGATATCACCAGAGCCTCTAAACATATACGTCTCATGATTCCCTGTTCTCAAACAGTAAGGAGCACAATTGCATCACATAACTGGAAAAATGAATTCCTCGATCTATCATTTTATGACCCATTTTGGATTCTTCTTCTATTATCATTCCTCTGGGGTTATTTCTGTCTCATGTACAGAACTCATCTGAAACCCCATTCTTCCTTTCTTAAAATGCCCTGTCCCTTCAACCCTTATATCACCTGTTTTCCTAAATGTCTTGATTCCTTTCCAGATCTTATTTGGTAATATCTTTGCTTGCTTATTTTTTATTTTTCTTCCTCTCTGATGATCATATTTTTCCTATTTACATTGGCCAATACACCAAATATTGCAGCATCGCAGAGAAATTCACCTGTACTTAAAAATTTAGCCCTAATCAAAACTACAGCATTAATTGCAGTCAGGTGAAACAATTAAACATTTCAACTATGGCTTCAGAAAAGCATCAAACGTAAACCTCGAAAAAACTTGACCTTCTATATCTACCCCCCACACATAGTCACTGAATAAAGCTCCAAAGATTAGAATAAAATTTTTTTCTGATAACTACCAATTGTTAAATTTAGTGAAATTACTGCTGGTCAGACACTTGTATTTTGTATAGTTGTCTTTCAAATTGCGTTAACACATCTCTAGGTTTTAGCCCTAATAAATTTTTGCATTTGGGCAAGACTGACCATTTGCAGACTAGAACACATGTATTTGTAAAAGGAAAGTTGTGTAAAAGGAAAGTTATGTAAAAGGAAAGTTGATCCTAAAATACACTAAAAATTGTTTAATTTCCCTCATGCATGAATGTTTTACAAAGCATCCATGGCCTTAACCTGTTCTCAGGCAAATAAGCCGAGTATGTATATGCACACTCCAAACAAATCATTGCCTTTACTCTAGTGAATATTTGGTCTTTAGGAATGAGTGTTATTTATTGTTGGAAAATGAAATAAACTTGAGCCGTAAACAAAACAATGTTGTCATGTTGACTGCTGAAATGTCATAAATATGCGATTTTCTACATTTTGACCCTGGCAGATGCTATTTTTTCTGGCTGTAAATAAGAACTTTACTGAACTGTACTTTTCAAAGAATAAGGAAAGATATCAAACTATAAGTTGCAAACAAAAGGTTTAGCAAAATTCCAGTTTCCCTTACCCAACAGTCAATAAAAGAAGGTAGGAAGGGAGGGAGGGAGCGAGGAAGCAAAGAAGAAAGGAAGCCCTTTATTTTTTCCAGAGATACAAATGTTAGCAAGGTAGAAAATTATAGGCATAATTGTCATTAGAAAAAAGAAGCAAGGCAATCAACCGGTTTCATTAAGTTAATCACCATAGACACAGAGAAAAATGCAGAAGGTGATGTTCGATCAAGAAATAACAAGTAATGACATTGTTTTGGTTAAATAATTTATGAAACCAGAATACTTCAAAATCCCTTGAAGTTCACTCTGTCACATTAGTGCCAAACTAAAAAATCTCAGTGACTTAGGCTTTTGAAATTCACCTCTTCTCTTTTGGTACTTCAGTTTGCCTCAGATCATACTGTAGCATGAAATGGTCAAAGATTTTTTTTAGTACTCACATCATAATTTTTAAGAAAGGTGATATAAAGTATCACAAAAGAAAACAAGCAAATATGGTGTCATAATTCTCGAATGATGGCAAATTGTTTTAGGGGCTTGTAGGTGCTCTCAGACCCAGAGCACATAGTAATTTAGTTTGATGCTCACTCTTCCTATTTTTAGTAGATATTCCTTTTTCTCAGAAGTTCTAGATTAAACATTTCATTATGAAGCAAGGCTGGGGTGGAATTTATTCTTCTCATTGCCTCAAATGATATAAGTTCTGATAATATGTAGAAAAAGTTATCCATTAAAAATAGTTTTGAGCTGGGATTTCCAAAGAATAACATCTTTTAAAGTTTTCTTTTGGAACGTAGCTACCTGCCATGTCAAAGGTGACATCCAAATTATCACCAAGTTGAAAACCAAAGAACACGATTGCTTCTGCTTGTGGTGGAGAGAATTAGCGTGCATGGTGGCATTTTTGTTTGAATTACAAATTACATTAAATGGTTAGATAGGCCTTAGAATATTTTCCAGAAATAAAACTGTTAAGTCCATATATATTGCTAATAAGTTTTAAATCTCCTTTAACTTCAAAGCAAATATCTAAACACAATGATGTCTTCTGTCAATTAGTATTTCTTTTACATTTATCCAGCAGCCAAAGACACTGTTCACTTTACTTCTTGCAGTTTGAGAGATGTGGCTACATTAGAGCACTAAGTATTAGAGAAGAAAGGGCTAAATGAATCCAGGGCAACCTCTGAAGGAAGATGGCATTTACCATACATTACCTATGCATGTTTGCTCATCTGAATCAAGCCGGTGTCCATGGTTACAGGAGCAACAGGGCCCACCAACTGCATGCTCACAGTGACAGGAACAACCACCATTATTCTTTTCACAGCTATTGACAATTTCCAATTCAATCCCTTTCCAAAACAAGCAAAAGAGAATTATTAGCATAATAACAGAGAAATCTGAATATATGGCAACAATGGGTACACTCTCTCTGTTGGGAGATGACTAACTTTATTGGAAATCTGTCAACACTCTAAGCATATAAAAGTAAAAGTCTGAGGACTATTAAGCATTGTAAATAGCTAGACCATATCAAAAAGCTTATAAACCTATAAATAATGTCAAACTGACAGTGTGGCAGCAAGGTAAGGAGGCCACCAGTGGTTATTAAACGTATCTTAAAGGACACTTAACGTCTGGAAATTTTCAGAATGTAAAAAATATGTGTATTGAATCAATGATCAGAAAGCAAATACAGCTGACATATCTGCTCTCAAACTAATGGTATGTTAATATCTGTCCTTTTTTTAGGCTGTGAGTACATGAAAATACTGTGAAAAATGGCTTTGGAACAAAACTATGAACAAAAAACCAATGAACTAGCTGATTATATGTAACTGGTATCATGTTCCTATGCTAATCAGCTTTGATGTATACAAGAGTCACTTGTTACATAAACATTCTCTTACTTTGAGCACTAATTTGCTGATCGTGGTACATGCCACTACTTTGGGGCACTTTGGGGGGCATCCAGCTCAGTATATAGATGTCAATTTTCCTGAGCACACAGGTATTATAATCAATCATTTTCTAAGTGAGAAAATGAAAAATAAAAGAATGCTTTACATCCTTGTTAAAAGTATGGAATTAGATACTCTGCTATTTTCACCATTGGCCTCTACTGTTCTTCATTTGTGTTGCTTGGACACACCTCTAAATGAGAGCGACTACATTGGTTCATTTCCTTCCATTCTTAACTCCTGAATCCTTTGAAAGAAGAAAGATGGGAAAGAACAGGACAAGGGCACTTAAGATTGTGGTATTCCTTGAGAGCCTGTACCACCATTCAAACTGCCAAGGTATCTGCTATGTTGCTGTATAGTTACATGTACAGAAATCATGCTCCCTGGTCCCAGCTTCCAGTCTATGCTAGGCAGCAGCCATGTGTCTAGGGCGCCCAGGGCACATCCCTGTCATTGTGCTCATTCCTCTGTACCTTCATCATCTTGTATTACCCAGCTCATAACAGATGTTCAAAAATTGGTTTTGAGAGTAGAGAATGGACTTGAGGACACGGGGAGGGGGAAGGGTAAACTGGGATGAAGTGAGAGAGTAGCATTGACATATACACACTACCAAATGTAAAATAGATAGCTAGTGGGAAGCAGCCACATAGCACAGGGAGATCAGCTCGGTGCTTTGTGACCACCTAGAGGGATGGGATAGGGAGGGTGGGAGGGAGACCCGAGAAGGAGGGGATATGTGGATATATGTATATGTATAGCCGATTCACTTTGTTATACAGCAGAAACTAACACACCATTGTAAAGCAATTATACTCCAATAAAGATGTTAAAAAAAAGTGCTAAAATTAAAAAACAAATAGGTTTTGAATGATTGAATAAACAAAAAAAAAGATTATGCTAATGAATTTATTGTTGAAAATAAGAATGCCTTTGGGTTTAGAAACAGCTAGTTTAGGACACAGCAAAATAAGAGAGCTAAAGGAAAGGCTGAAATAATTAAGGGAACTGCTAGTTTTCACAGTATGTTAGCATATACTCTGTAGGGAGACATATTTCAAAGTCTGGCTCCTATTCTCCTTTCCCTGTGATCAATGCAGCTGTAAGCCTGCCGGAGGTACTTTACATATAAATGACATTACTGTAACTTCATAAAGAGCTAAACTATACGGGACTCAGACATGCGCATACTCATCTAGAACTGGCCACTAGAAGTAAGCTGAGAGTCTGCGTTCTTGATACAGATGACACTGTTTAACTATCATACCTAAAAATACGCTTTAAAAAAACTTTAAAACCTGATCCCCGTGGTTTCTCATAGATAGCAAATAATCATTATTTTCTCAATATATTAAATATGCATTAAATACATATGGAACTTAGGTTCACTATATACTGCTTGGTAGTTTGGGGACAGTTTTATTTAACCATGCTAGATCTGGAATTTTCTAATTTCTAATCACAAGATAGTGATAGTTCATTCGTAGCACACTTTGAGGATTCGATGTTTATGCTATACAGTATTTTGAGAGCCTCTGAGAAGAAATGATATAAATACAAAATATTGTTGTCCTAGGAAAAAGTTAAAACAATATTGCCTAAAATATACTGTTACATGAAGAACACGCAATTCATTGTTTTTTTCTTTTTTTAAATTTATTTATTTATTTATTTTGGGCTGTGTTGGGTCTTCTCTGCTTTGCGCGGGCTTTCTCTAGTTGCAGCGAGCTGGGGCTGCTCTTTGTTGCGGTGCAAGGGCCTTCTCAATGCGGTGACTTCTCTTGTTGCGGAGCATGGGCTCCAGGCATGTGGGCTTCAGTAGTTGTGGCACGTGGGCTCACTAGTTCTGGCACACAGGCTCACTATTTGTGGCTCGTGGGCTCTAGAGTGCAGGCTTAGCAGTTGTGGCACGCTGGCTCAGTTTCTCTGCAGCATGTGGGATCTTCCCGGACCAGGGCTCGAACCCATGTCCCCTGCATTGGCAGGCAGATTCCTAACCACTGCGCCACCAGGGAAGTCCCTCATTGCTAAACATTACCATGTTCTGAAAATATTTACCCCACCTACAAGTTTTAAAGCACTCAAAATACCAGTTTTCACCAAGAAAGTTTTGTATGTCAGTTAGTAAATATTGAGGTCTGGTGAGAGCTACACAAAGAACTTAGCCAAATATTCACATGAAGGAAATAAATGTAAAAATACACTTCTACCAAATGTATTCAACTCTAGGGCAAATTGCTTTCCCAAGTAACTTTCACAGAAAGCCTATATACCTCATGACTCATTAGCAATAATGACCCCCTCTTTCATGATAACTGAGAACTCACCAGTCAGATTGCAAGGGATTTTATTTCAGGCATCTGTAAAATGTACTCACCTCCTAAACCTCTGGCCACATTAAAAAGCCAAGATATTAATAAGAAAGAAAAAGACATCCACATTTCTCTCTGCCTGAAAGGACTCCTCAGGGCATTGAGAGAAAGATTCACTTCAAAAGAAGTTATATCCTAATTAGTAGTTAATTCTTCTCTTCCATGTTGTTTAGTTTGCTCTTTAAAAGACAAATATCACTGCAGCAAAACTGCCCTGTCTTTAAGCAGTAGAGATATACCAACAGACCTTAAGGCTACACCGGCAACCCAGGCATTAAAGAATTAGAGTTTTATGCACTGGAAGACAATGAAAAACTTAGTGACCTTAAGAATGTCTCTTCATGAGAGAGCTTAGGTAAAAACACTACATAATTTATTCTGTTTATCATTAGCCTTATTATTCTTCCTTAATTAAAACTGATCAAGAGACATATGATGTATACAAACACATAACAAAGTTAAAAGGATAGTATATTTGGAGCCTAAAGACCCTAGTTCAAGTCCCAGTTCTGTCACTTACTCATTTGCATAATTGAATTTTTGACTTCCGCCCAGAATGGATGGTTTACTAAGATGTGGAGAACTGGAAAGGGCATCTTTGGAACTGAGATGGGAAATCAGACATGATATTACAATCTAGAGCCGCCCCTTGTGCTGCTGGTTCCTTCACTCCTGCTAGTTCCTTTTCCCTGAGTTTTACACTGGAATTATTAGTGTTCAATAAATATTGCACAGCAGAGGTGGTGAAGGAAGACAGACTCTTCACAAAGGAGAGCCATGGGTCCAAGACAGCCCCGAGTCAGAAGACCTGAGACTTAGTTAGTCCTTGTGGTCTACACAGTGGATCATGATACCGACCATTTTCTGTTGACTCTGGGCCCCTGTTTTGTCAAATTAAAATGAGGGGGTTGGTCTTCGAAGCTCCCACACCCAGCCTACCCCAGGGGAAAACATTCTCAGGAGCTTCCACTTTGGCAAGACATTCAGTGTAGTTCTTTTGTTTGTTACTCTTGTTTAATACTTGTAAAACACCACACATTTCCTGGGCTGCGATTATTGCCACTTACTTGAACACTGTTTTCCATCAGCTCCCAGCTCAAAACCAGGGTGGCAGGCACAAGTGAAAGATTCCACTGTGTTCACACAGAGATGGCGGCAGGAAGCAAGCCCTTCAGCACACTCGTTTACATCTGCAGAAAGAGATACACAGGAGCTGTGTCTTCAGAGCTGGAATTAAGGTTTCTTTGTAAACTATAAAAATGCACTAAAGCATCCCCTGCCTCTCAACCCCCAACATCAAACGTAACAGTAAAATACCACATAGGCTCCATATTTGCAAATAAACCAACTGCGAATGACATGAACTCTACTGTAGGTCTTATGTTCTCAAACACTTCTTTCTACCTATTAGAACCTACCAGTATCTATTAATTTGAAGAAAGAGAAAACAAACAAAAAATAGACCTTTTCTATCCTCTAATAATACAGGCAGAAGTCATTGTAATTTGTCTTCATGAATATATATCAAATTCTTAACCAAAAATGTGTCTCTCTGATTTAAGACAGTACAAGTGGCCATACACAAGGCAGATTTGGAGTCTTCATATGTAGCAATCCATGGTGTATATTGTACATAAGATTGTTATAGGGCAATGCCATTTAAACACTGGTGCCCTTTCGCTCTCCTGACACTGATGGCCAAGTCTATTCAGTATAACATTTTGTGGCCCATGTAGTTTCTGCAGGCCCCCCTTTAAATGGATAGGTCTCACCATTATTTTCCCAAATAGAACCTCCTCCTTGTACGGTCCTGCATGCCACCCCCCACCAGGACTCTTAAGAGGAAATACTCATTTTTCTAAGGTACTTATAAAACCCTACATAGGCAGTAACTTTGGGGACAGACTTTTTAGGAATAATGTACCAGATATTATTAAAATAAAAATTTGAAAAAGATATTATATAGATAAGTATGGATATATGTATATATCTATATATGTATACATTTGTCAATTTTCCACAAATATTAATAAGATCCTATTCTGTGTCAGAAACTCAGCAAGGTAGGTGCTATGCAAACAGAGGACCAAAGCAGAAATGTTCTCTGTCAGAAAAGTACGTTAACATAATCCACAGAAAACTTTATCTTGGTTTTGGCTTAAAGAAAAAAAAAACTAACTTCACACTAATTTTTATGTCTAATTCTTTTTCAATTTCTTAAAGTGTTTATCAGTCCCATAAGTCAGGAAGCATTTTGTATTTTCTTAATTAATGCAAATAAACTGTTTCTCATTTCATGGAAATGCTGTGATAAAAATGAAGGATTCTGTGATTTCTCAGAAGTTATTAAAACAAAGACAGTCCCACAGGAATGACTTCATTTATCAGTTCTGGTCACGAAGTAATTTAACACTTTCATCTTTGAATTGAAGTGCGTCTGTTTTGCTATTTCTAGGAAACAGAAATAAGTAACCTTGTAGTTATAGAGTTTCTTTCTTTTTGGTTTTAATTATTCCTAACTTCTGAGAGCACTCATTTGCACATAGTTGCTTTTCAAAGGTTATCCCCACATTCTGTAGCCTATAATAAAAAACTCCCTGTGAGGTTATGGAAGGTTTTGAAATATTAATTCTGGAATTCACTTCAGAACGAAAAACAGAAAACAAAAAGAATTAATTCTGAAACTACACCAGATCATTTTTTGTAACTAAAAATTTCACTGAGTTTTTACAGTTTCATAAAAATACCTTTCAGAATGATCAAATAAGAATATAAATGTTCTTTTTTAAGCATAAATGAAAACACCTTTCTCCTAGCTGTTCTGACTAATCAAAACTGAATTACCACAGAATTTCAAACAATTACCCAATTAATCCATCAGTTTCAACTTCCAACCTGCACAGGCCTTTTTGTATTCAGACAGCTGGTACCCTGGGTGACAGGCACTCCTGGCCACGCCATGCTCACTCTGACAGATGTGAGCACATCCATTTCCACCCATGCAGGGGTCCATCGCTAAAAGCAATTAAGCAGTGATAGTTTTCAATTCATTAACTTCAGAAAGATGTACAAAGCAGAAGTGTGGAGAAAGGTAAAAGAGAACTGGGACAGGAGGATTTCTTACATAAAGATGGTAAGGCCTCTGGAAAGTCTTTCCCACTTTCAGATGACGCTAATCCAACAAAATGTTTCCCATTTTGTGATCTGAGCTCCAAAATCTGAACAAATCCAAACATGGATCGAGGTCAAAGAGCTGGCTAATTTTACTCTTCTCAAAAGTCCATCTGCTGCCCTCTTGTACCCAAAGTTAAATAGAATCAGCAGGAACTCCTCCACACACCTTTTCATTTTTTTCTCCTTCTGTCCTCACCTTTTCTACTCCTTTGAGCAGCAATTATCCTCAGATAAACCTTTCACCTCCTCTAGATCTCCTCTGCCTTTGGATAAGCAACCACGGTGCCAAGAAAAGGCCAACTGGAGCAACATGGGAGAGTCTTAGCTACCGCTGCCATGGAGATGAAATAAAGAAGTTCAGATCCCACTGGAATTAGTGAGTGACCTCCTTCTGATCTCCTTTTCCCCTCACTTGCTCTCATCTTAGTCTTAGTCATATTCTCTGGAAGTCCAAAGTAATGTGAAGCCACACGTCCTATAAGGAGTACCTCCACACAGAGCTTATTTGTTGAATTGATGAGCTAAGTGATCCTGGTCTGACTCTGTAAATCAGCCTTGGCTACATTACAAGCTGCTGGGGTGGGAATTCCTACTCCTGTATGTTCCCCATTTCCTTTTTTAAAATAATGCACAGATATAAAAAGCAGAACAGTGAATAAAGCTACCTTGCTCCCACATTCACCCAGTTTCAATGTAACAACTACCACAAAATGTAAGCTGGCAGTACATTAATGCTTGCATGCTTTTATTAATTTCTTGTAAATCCTTCCAGACTTTATGAAAATATAAGTGATACAAATATCTATCTATCTATCTATCTATCTATCACAGATACAATATACATTGTTCTACTTCTTGCTTTTATGTAGGGAGAGATTGAATTGAATTTGTGGATCAATTTGGGGGAGTATTGCCATTTGAACAATATTAAGTTATCTGATCCATGAACGCGAGATGTCTTTCCATTTATTTTAGTATCTAACTTATTTCAACAATGTTTTGCAGTTTTCATTATATAATTTTGGCACTTCTTTTGTTAAATTTGTTCCTATGTATTTTATTCGATGCTATAATAACTAGAATCGTTTCTTAACTTTACTTCCAGATTTTTCATTGCTAGTGTATAGAAATCCAATTGATTTTTATAGTTTGATCTTTAATCCCACAACTTAGTTGCATTTCCTTGTTAATTCTAATAGTTTTTCTAGGTGGATTCCTTAAAATTTACTGTTACAAGATAACAGAAATAATTTGTGAATAATCTGTATTAATTTTTCTTTAAATGTTTGGTATTATTTACCACTGAAATCATCTCAGTTTAAACTTTTCTTTTGGGAAGGTTTTTTTTTTTTGGCGGTACGCGGGCCTCTCACTGTTGTGGCCTCTCCCGTAGCGGAGCACAGGCTCCGGAGGCGCAGGCTCAGTGGCCATGGCTCACGGGCCTAGCCGTTCCGCGGCATGTGGGATCTTCCCAGACCAGGGCACGAACCCGTGTCCCCTGAATCGGCAGGCGGACTCTCAACCACTGTGCCACCAAGGAAGCCCTGGGAAGTTTTTAAATTACTAATTCTATCTCTCTCTCTCTCTCTTTTTTTTTTTTCCCCAGGAGGATGTGTGTAGGTCACACACAAATACTACACTATTTTATTTACTTTTTTTTTTTTACCTTTTTTTACAATTTAAATATAGTTAAGGAACAGTATTATGTCAGTTTCAGGTGTATACCATAGTGATTCAACATTTAAATACATTATGAAATGATCACCATGATAAGTCTAGCTTTACTTATTAAATGTCTAACCAGATTTTCTATTTCTTTAGAAGTCAGTTTCAGTAGTTGCTGTCATTCTAGGAATGTGTTCATTTCATCTAAGTTATCTAATCTGTTGTGACACAGTTGTTCGTAGTATATCCTATTTTCTTTTTAAATTTCCTTAGGGTCAGTAGTGATGTCCCTCTTTCATTAATGATTTTAGTTATTTGAGTCATCTTTCTTTTTTCCTTTTTCAGTCTAGTTAAATGTTTGTCGATTTTATCAACATTTTCAAAGAACCAACTTTTGGTTTTAATTAATTTTCTCTCCTGTTTTTCTATTCTCTATTTCATCAGTTTCTATACAAATCTTTATTATTGCCTTCCTTCTTTTCTTACCTTTTCTCATCCTTTTTCTCCTTGTGTTGCTCCTGCCTAGTATCAACTCTCTAAAAACTCTTACATTCGAGTCTGTAGATTCAATCTGCCCCACAATTTCACAAAAGTAAAATTTGCTGGACCTTTTTGGTTTTGCTTGTTTTCTTCATTTTTTTCTGTATGCTTTGTCACAGGTTAAGAAAAAGATGTTGACCTATACAGCCATGTTTACACCAGAAACTTACTTTCTTTACTCCATAACCTCTACCACCAGCTTTTAAGACCAGCAGTCCCCAACCTTTTTGGCACCAGGGGCTGGTATCGTGGAAGACAACTTTTCCATGGAAGTTGGGGGAGATGGTTCAGGCGGTAAGGTGAGTGATGAGGAGCGATGGGAGGCAACAGATGAAGCTTCACTCACTCGCCTGCCACTCACCTCCTGCTGTGTGGCCCAGTTCCTAACGGGCTGCAGACCAGTACCGGTCTGCAGCCTGGGAGTTGGGGACCCCTGCTTAAGACAATGGGAGAGGTAACTTTTCTTAACTCTGAAAAGTGAGAAGTCAATTCCACCAGATGCAAGATTATAAAGCATATTGCAGTTATCTTTGATATGTTCTTCTCATTGACGACTACCTCTGGGAATTTCTCTAAATTTACTTTAATCTCTTATTGCCCTTAATGCCTTCTTTATGTCCAAGGTCTCCAACTATGAGGGTTACCGGTCCAGAAAATGGCTGCATATAACCTCCCTACAGCAAGCCATTGTACTGTCAAAACTCCCTTCTGTTTTTGAGACTGATTTTAACTGTGAACTTAAGGATTGGGCTCTAGAAAGAAACATATGGATTGGACTCTAGAAAAACCATAAAATAAATCTCCTACAGTG